GTAAACATAAGCCTTTCAACATCTGTGCGGTTACGATTTGTAAGCTGAATTTTACAGAAGAGCAAACGGACTCAGAGAAGCTCAATAGTTGTCAGGGATACACAGTGGATGTGACCAGCATGTCTCAGTTAACATTTGCCAGTTTCATAATGTGAATTTCCATAGCACAGAAGGATTCAGTTTAGGACATATTAACTACTTCTATCCCTTCCTAGCAGTAATATTTTATAAACTATTTTGCCACAGAGAATAAGGCACTTTTAAGACATCTTGGTGGCCTCAGTTAGAAAGAGCTAACTAACTGTCAAGTTAGAAGTATCTGCCCTTTGAGACAAAAATCATATTTTAGCTGGAACATCAAAGAAGACATACAAATCACCATTCCAGAATCTTCTCTTGAGAAAGCGGCTACCTCCCTGCCAAGCACTGGACTTCATTCTGTGAGGATGCAGTCCCTGGTGATGTCAGTCATCAGAAGTCAAGGGTGTAATCCCAAATACTTTCAATGTGTCTTTCATGAGGTCATGTTTTGGGGTTTATATGTGGGGGTTTGAGGACCGTATTTCATGACCTGGTTTCTAATTCATGCTTCAGGGATGATTACTATACCAAGTCACCAGGGGCTTGGTATATTGGTATACATCTTCATTCTCCTCATCCAACCCAATAATGAACTAGACGCTGCCTTGTGGGTGCACATTCAATCATTTTAGAATGGATTACTAGGTGCCCCGATTCTAAGAGCAGTTACCAGGTCTTTTTTGTCCCCTCAAAGCATTTCCTTTCTTATTCTGTTTCCAATCTAGTCTCGGGAGAATTTCCTCCAATCTATATGCTAATATTTAAAAATCCTCATTAGTGCAAAGTCATCTAGCTTTTCAGTCCTGAGTCTTCTCAAACATCATCCTCTGAGCAATAGCAATATAAATGTGGGTTTTGTTCTTTAAAGAAGGACTACTTTATTTTTAGCATCATATGAAACCTCTGTATTTTTCACATTCTACCATCCCAACTGTGTAAGGAAGGAAAAGTTATTTCCTGGATTTTTCTCTTTTGTTTTTGTTTTTTTTTTCTTCTACACATTATATCATAATTACAGGAAACTATCTGGACTTGCTTTTTAGTTATTAGAAATACATGGAAATAAACATTTACTATTCTATATTTTCATATCTTCTTTGGAAATACTCAGAATCCTCAAATTTATCCTCTCTTAACATTCTTTCTTCAATACATTTAATATGTAATTACACCTAGTCCTCCAAATAAATTCTTTTGATTAATTAGGTTCCAACTTTTTCTCCTTAGAAGAATATTTCAGGAACAAGGAAGCTAGTTGGTAATAATCTTAAGGAGACAGGATTAGATAGTCTGTACCTTTCAAGAAGGCATCTTTGGCTCTCAAAGTTCAAAGGGAAGAATACATTCATTTACTTTTCGCTTTATCTAGTTACTCACAAACATTCACTGTTTGCCTGCACATGGCTAGTTTGTTTGTTCTTATACTTTGTATCAACATACATCTTTTGTCTTCACTTTTGGCACATCTGTCTTCAGTCTGTAGAAGGATAATTCTGAACCACATGGGGAAGGACTGCATCTTCCCACACTGCTGTGCTACCTTCCTGTTTCCTGGTAGATCACCTAATAACGTGAAGGCAGGATAGATACTAGAACTGATCAATACTTTCCTGAGGTTTGTCTCAGAAGTTTACTGTGACAAAATATGGTAGCGGATATTAGGTGCTGCGTAAGGTGTGCATATTAGTATATGGTATGTATTTCTATGGTCTGAAAATAAAAGACGTTACACTTTCACATTAATTATACAGTCTTCCTGATGAGAGCTCATATGGGGAAGTTTGAAGGATAGAAACTTTGTACTTTGTATTTCCTGTATTATGCTTGCAGGCCAAAAAAGATGTGATTAAGGTGTGATTAAAAGTTAAAATATATTACAAATTTAGTCCTGATTGCAAAAGATTAACCATCAATATTGCTCTCTTTAATCTAGCCTAGTCTAGACAAAAATTAAGACAGGGCTTCAAAAAAGTTCTTTGTAGTTGAGAGGTATATTTTTGGAAAGAATTGCTTAAAGGACTTAATAGAAAATAAGGTGGAACAATAAACTAAAAAAAGTACATTGTTTGGACAAGGTAATTTAAATATTCTCACCGTTGCCAGAATTCTCTCAGAGGTTAAAAAAAAAATCTGTCCACTTTATCCCAAAAGCAGCTCAAGTATAGCAGAGCCCAGAGATGTATAACACATAATCTCATCCACCTGGAAAAAGGCTATGAATATATAGTCTGCTAAAATATTCATGGAAGGTGATTGTAATGTTGATGTCCTTATAATGTAAGGGAATATTCAATACTAACTTTGAAATTTAAAATTTGATGGATAGCTAACCATGAAGCAGCCAACAGCACTCTATGACCTGCTAAAGCAGGCAAATAATGAGTGTATTAAAATTCTGGAAGGGGGAAATATCTTCAGTTCTAAGAAGGAGAGAATCTAAAGGAACAGATAAAAGTGCACACACTACAGTTTTCTAGAGGAACCCAGGTCCTTTGCAGAAGCTCCTGGTGCCAGGAGCACCAGGTGACTGGTGAGAAGGTTTGGAGTAACCTGAGTTACTTTAGGTACATTAAATACATTTATGTTTAGAAAAACTTTAAATAACTAAAACACCATTATGTGGCTAACACAGTGAACAAGAGATTATATAACCCTTTTTTAAAAAGTTATTGTTATTATTCTTTATTACAATGTATTCACTTTTTATCCCCACTGTTGCCCCTTATGTTGACCTGTGGAGTGGACTCTGGGTGTGGGGAGGATTATGGTAACTTGACTAGTGAAAAAACTGAAGCCCAAAGAAACTGTGCTGCTTGCCCAGGTTCCTAGCGTAGCTCAATGGCCGGGCTCACTTCTGAGCCCAGGCAGGGCCACCTTTGCTGCTCGTTTCCCCCTTGCCAGGTGACGATGACTATGGCCTATGGCCGTGTGTGGGCATAATGACCGCTGGTCCAGTCTCTCGGCAGGTTTACCATTAGACACGTAAAGCTATTCTATGTGCTCGGGGGTGGACACAGTAATATTGTCAAAAAAAACATCTGCTCAGTGCTTGCTGTGTGCCATGCTGCCAACAGAGTGGGAAACAGAACAAGGGCTTTGCTACACGTGAGGTACAAGCAACCAGTATACACCAGGGCTATCACAAAATAGTTTAATTTTGAAGATAGTGTGCATGTCCAGCCACTGTTTCAAAGCTGCTTCTCTTAACAATTAACAGTCTTACAAATAAAGTCTACGGAGTGGGTAAGGTTAATGAGTTTCCTATAAAGGGGGCCAGGGAAGAAGTTCAAACCTCCCCATAGCCTTGTAGTAATTTCTGAATGAAGTCTTACGTCATGTATCTTTAGAATGGCCCGGTTCTAAAGAGTGGCAAGCCTCTTGCGTCCAGTTAGAGACGTCTTGCTTCCGTTACACAGGCCAAAATCGCCCGTCGCACACATCACTTAGGGTGATCTATCAAGCGTGCTCTGAAATATTTAGCTGTAGAATGATATTTGTGATGACATGGTAGTCCATCTCTTCTCCATTTAACATTCAGGAAATTCAGTGTTGTGACCATCTCATCCTCAAACTCAGTGATTTGCCAAACTAAAGCAGCTGTCGCTCTTGGCTTACGTTATATTTTCTTGATGACAAAAGCCCACTCCCCAAACCACCAAGTTACAGCCTATGAAAACGAATGAGCACTCCGCAAATCTGTTAAGTTATTCCACACTCTCTTGAAAAGAGCAGCGCTCTTAAGGCTATTTTCCTCCCCTTGCCTCCTGCACATGCTTTTTTTTTTTTTTTTTTTTTCTCTGTCCAGTGGCCTGGTTGGTGTGAGCATTGTCAGGGAGACTTGAAGATACTGCTTGTGTGCAGAGCTCACAAGGCATTGCAGGACTGGCTCCCAAGCTACTTAAACATCCACTCCCGTGGATGCCTACGCAAGCATTTTGTATGCTTGTGCTGTGACTCTGCGTGGGTCTCCTGACCTCAGAGGAATCCCGCTATTCCCTGAACTCTGGGAATAGCAACATGAGGCACAAAGCTCTTTCGCCCTCCCCTGGTGACTGGTACCCCTGGGTCCCAAGAATCTGCAATGCCTCATCTCCCAAGCAGCTAATCAGAGGAGACTGAGAAGATGGGAAAGGATTTACCGGGAATCAACCTGGAAAGAACTGGTTTACCCAAGATGATGCTTCTGAAGCTAGGAGCCTTGGTTCTGTGCTCGTATTTACAAAGCCTTGGGAAACTGGAGGGGAGGCAAAGCCATCCAGAATCTAAAATCCTCTGAGATAATTTGTCATTGCTTTGGAAGCCATACCACCAGGCTGCTGTCCTGCGCTGGGGTCAGAGTCCGGGCAGGGCTGTGAGCACAGGGGCTGCAAGTCTCCAGAGCCACCTGGCGCTTTGCGCTCCTGTGGGCTTTGCGCTTTGAAGACGTGTCCCCACCATCTTCCCAGACGCTGTGCGGGAGGTCTGAAACAGCCCAGCTGGTGCCTCGAAAGGGAGTTTCTAGACGCTCCATCTCTGCTGCCTCCCCTCCCCTTCTGATCTGGAATTATAACCCCGCCAGGGAGCTGCCGCAGCTCCACCACAGCCTCCGCCCGCCCTCCGAAAGGGACAAGGTGCCACCGACGCCGCTCACCGGGGTCTGACCCTAGCGCCGCGGTGTCGCGGATGCTCTGGTGGCGGAGCCGGGGACTCCCCGCCCTTGCGCGCGACCCCGCTGCCGGGCGGGCGGCGCTTGCGGCAGGCAAGGGGCGGGCAGGGCAGCTGGGACTCGTCCGGGGGTAGCAGCCTCCTCTGCATCCCGCCCCGCGCCTCCCGGATCCCCGGCCGCATCCTCCGCCTCTGCCTCCAGCGGCTGCCAGCTTCCTCCTCGCGCCACCCCGGCCTCCCGCCGCCCCCTCCGCCGCGCCCCCGTGACTGTGCCTCGGCGGAGCCGGGAGGAGGGGGCCTGTGGCGCGTCGGCCGCCCCGCTCTGTTCGGCGGGCTTGGCCGGGAGGCGTGCATGCCCCTGCTGCCCGCCGCGCTCATCAGCAGCATGCTCTATTTCCAGATGGTGATCATGGCAGGGACGGTGATGCTGGCGTACTACTTCGAATACACCGACACATTCTCCGTGAACGTGCAGGGCTTCTTCTGCCACGACAGCGCCTACCGCAAGCCCTATCCGGGCCCAGAGGACAGCAGCGCGGTGCCCCCGGTGCTCCTCTACTCGTTGGCCGCTGGCGTCCCGGTGCTCGTGGTAAGTCCCAGGCTGCTAGCCCTCTCTTGTCTTCTGCAGCTTGAGGCTCCTCCAGGAGGACCAGGGTACGCCAGCCTTTACCACCTAAGTTCCTCCAACTTGGTGGCAACCCTCTTCCCCCAGAGGACATTCTTCTGGGAAGTGTGGGGGTGGGTGAGAAGGAAGCACCCTTGTCTCTCTCCACACCACCCACCCCTGTACCCTCTGCTGAGCCTGCAGGGCTGGCTGGTTCAAAGACAGGGAAGGGACCTGCAGAAGGTGTTGGGTGGGTGGCAGAGATAGGAAGGGGGTGAAGGGAATAGACTTGATGCATTCTGTGGCCCTGTCTCGCTGCTTGGCCTCCTCTTGGAATTTGGTTGGAAGGGGAGCAGCCGCCTGGGTGGTAGAGGAGTCAGGTGCAGGAATGGGGAAGGGGCCCCTGTCAGTAGGGCAGGGGCACAGGCTCCTGTTTTATCCCCCTCCTTTCTCTCCGGGTGAGAGAACCAGGTGCACTAAGCTGGAGATTTTGCTCACAAGTGTCTAAAAATGTCTTTGGGCATCCGTAAATGAAGAGGCCTCAGCAACAGGGCTTTGCTGAAAAGCAGAGTGGAGGAGCCTGCATTGCAAGAGCACTTTAGATTTATTTAAAGGTTATCTTCTCCCTGGACAGCGCTCTCTCTCTCTCTCTCTCTCTCTCTCTCTCTCTCACACACACACACACACACACAAACACATACACACACCACAGGACATGTAACTGTCGAGCTAATAATTATACCACTATTTGCGTATATGAACACAATGCAAAGTTTTTTTTTTTTTTTTTTTTTTTTTGTTGTTGTTGTTTTCTTTTGTTTTGTTTTTGTAGGAGATGAATGATGTTTCTTTGGAGACCAGCCTCACTATGGTTGCTTCTGGTTCTTTTACATTGACAAAATATCTGAGGTTCCCTTCCCGTGATGCTCCCTCTCCTTTCTTCCCTTCCTCTCTCCCTCTTCCCACATAAGGAATGAGAAGTTAGAGAATGAAAAGGGAAGGGAACTTGAGCTTTTATTTTGCATGATTGACCTTGTGAATTGTGATTGTGAATAAATGTATCAGCTGCATCCATTTAAAAAAAATATTTTCCTTAGTCTTCTGGGTAGTGATTTAAGAATTTTCAAAATAAAAAAAGTTCTTGTCACAAGACCAGGACAGTACAAACAAAGCAAGCAGGTTCTTTCTAGCTTCAAAGTGACTCTGTTTCTTACATCAGCAAACATTGTTTTAACCTCAGCTCCACTGCAAAGGTTGGGGATGTTTTAAGACTTCCTTTTCTTTGAAAGTCTTTACTTTGTTTTTGTTTTTGACATTGGATTTGCTAAAATGTGTCAGAAATCCTCAATCCAGTTTAAAGCTCCAGTTCTCCCTATCTCTCAGTTTGAAAAGTTGCCAGAGCAAAAGCTGGCCTGGTTTCTGGGGACTTTTTGACTTTGCAGATTCTGGGTTTTCAGGCACATGCTTTCTAGGAGCCTAAATAGCCTAGAAAAATTTTTTAAAGGAAAAAAAAATTAAAGGAAAATGCCAATTGCTTTTGGGTCAATGATTTCCTTGCAACCATAATCAATAATGTCTGTGATTCCTATCTCTGTGATGGCCATTCTGTCTCTTCAATGAGATAGCACCTGTCACTTTCAAACCATCCATTCTTGGAGGCAGGTGCCAGTTTAGAGGTGATAGCATATTGGTCCAGGATTTTGGTGACTCCTCACTTAGAGGAGACCTAGGGACAACCTAATGGGGGTTATAAGAAGCTGATTACCACTGAGCTAAACTGAACTGCTGTAGTCACGTGCATTTAAGGACCAGCCTTCCAAGAGATATTACCTCTTCCTGGATTAGAGGAAATGACTAGAAATATCTTTAAATGATAGCAAGAGGCAGATCTGCCTGGTGTTCAAATACCTAGAGGACTAGTGCCAAATGCCATGATCCAGCTGCTTCCAAAGAACAGACCTGAAAAATGGGAGCACGCTCCTGGGGCTGGCAGGAGACACAGAAAAACACAGAGATATGTGAAAGGGAGGCTCCAACTTTGCCTACTTGTTTTGACCTTTAGTTATCAGGTATGGCTGTCTAGGTTTAAGAAACAATGTGAAGAGAAGGAAGTCTTGAGTTTTTGATGGCTGGACTCTTGTTTCCTTTTCTGCTCCTAGGAATAGTACATTCTATCACCACACGATGAGCAAAAACAGCAATGGTGGCTCTCCCTCATTCTTTTCAAGAACATGGCCTTAAGGCACACCCTTTTCTCAGGAGAATAGAAACATCAGCCATAGCCTACCGCAGGGGAGTTAATGCCTTATTCTTGGATATTTGGGAGTGTTTTCCACATAGCGTGGTGTGGATATATACCCATGTTTGCATCATCTCTGAGCTCCACCAATATTATTTTCACGAAACATTTTGCTTTAAAATCAATTTCATTATTTTATGTTCACGGGTACTTTGTCTACATGTATGCCTCTGTTCCACGTTCATGCCTTGTGCCCAAGGAGCCAAGAAGGTATCAGATCCCTGGAACTGGAGTTACAAACAGTTGTGAGCTGCCATGTGGGTCCTGGGAATTGGACCCAGGTCCTCTTGAAGAGCCAGCAATGTTCTTAACTAGGGAGCCATCTCTCTAGCCCTTTCATAAAAACATGTTGGGAAGCAGGGAGCAGAGGTCAAGGACCAAAGTTAAAATGTTACCCTAATACCTTAGTAATTTTAACCCTAGTCGACCCTAGTCTTCTAAACTTGTACTTTTTCTGTTATAATGTATAAATTCAGTCTGCTCAAAAATTGTTATTATAATTCAGTGTTTCAAACCTTTCTCTTGTGTTATATTTAATATATTTTCAACATTAAGGTTTGTATTTATTTATTTGCTTACATAGTTTTTAATATGTGTTCCTATCCTGGAGGGTGATTTTGGAAAGTTACTGTCCTCAACATTTCAACCTGTGAATTATTTTTATTTGTCTGAAAATTTAAAAGCCTGTACTTTTTGGTTTGCATTACATTTATTTATTTACCTATTTATTTATGGGCAGTAAGGCAGAATCTTTCTATATATAGTAAGTAGCCTGAGACTTGTAAACCTTAATCTTGAGATTCCAGGCACGTGACTTTACATGGTTGAATCTTAAGACTGGAAATGCCACTAGCTGTAAATCCTTGAACAATTTTTTAAGCTTATTAATCCTCAGTTCTTTCAGTCACAAGGTTTGCATATTAGATAATTTATAATATGCAAATATCCTTCTTGGCTCATGATCGATATTCTTTTACAGGTCGTTGACACATAGGTTGTGTTTTTGTGGTGCTGGGGAATGAACCAATGGACTGAGGACATGTGTTCCTAGCCCAGGACTATTAGTAATAAAATAATGGTCAGGAAAAGTTTATTCAATCTCTGTGTTCTAAACATCTGTCTCTTAGAGTAGCTGCTCTAAGGGTTGTCTCAGACATTTAAACTACAGTTGTTGATCTAAGTTGTTTGCAGGGTGATTCGGGAAATTAGGCAAACACACTCATGATCGTGTATATGCTTGGCTGGGTGTGGTGGTACTTAGCTGTAATAGTAGCATCCCGAGGCTGAGGGAGGGGGATCACCAGTGTGAACTACATAGTGAGTTGAATATTAATCTTGATGACAAAATAAGACCCTGTATCCACAAAACAAGAGCAAGCAAAATGGCTAGGAATATAGTATAGTTCCAGATTTTGTTTGCTTAGTATGTTCAAGGCCTTGAGTTTAGTTTTTGTCACTACAAAAATACCCTCATATATATACATATATATATTCATAGATATAGACATAGACATAGATATAGATATGAAGGTGACACAGGGAAGAACAAGAACCTTTTTTTTGGAAGGCTGAAGGAAGACTTTGTGGGAATGGCTGCATTGTAGAGAGTGCTTTAAGAAAAACAATACAACTTTGTCTTTTTCACAAATGAATTGGTTTATACACCCTTTGAAAATGGTGCTGTACAGACTGCTCTGTATAGCACTTGTCAAAGCAGATTGTAAAATATATAAGATATGAATTTAAAAGGTGACCTTGATTTAATTCACCACATAGCTGTGTGAATACTAGGAAAGTGTTGGGCTGCTGAGCTACATTTCCCAGCCCTTGGGATGTGTATTCAAGAGGTAGAGGAGTCAGAATTTCTCAGGAGCAGCTTTGTGAGTAAACCCATGAACTTAGAAAATATAGAACATCTTTTTAAAACCACTATTGGCACACCATATTTATGTTTGTGGGGAATGGGTGCATGGATGGAGATAAAGACTGAATCACATTTAGGAGTTTCTTTTAGTATCTCAGCAGTGGATTAGTGACATAATCCAATGGGTGGTAATTTGGAACCCTTTGGGGGTGGGCAGGAGGAAATCGAGAGTTTTTCTATTAGCAAAACTTGCACCAAAGGTCATTTTAAATTCCATGGCTGGGTCATGCAATGTTATTCCATAGTGTTTTAAAGGAAAGCAACACAGCTATGGCTTTCTTGAAAAAAAAAAATGACATGGCTTATAAACTCTTTGAAAATGGTATTATATGGATTGGTCTCTATAACATTTATCAAAGCAGATTGTAAAATACATATGGATTTAAGCTTAATAGGTGACTTTGGTCTTCACTAATTAAAGAAATTGGTGGTTGGAATGGCCTTTCTTCCCCCAATTTGGATGTATCCTTCATTAGATTTCTGAGCAGCATCTATTATGGGGTAAAGATGATTGTAGGCAATAATCTTCATAGAGTCAAAAATCAAGATTTAAAACAAACAAGTGAACAAAATATCAGGCACTAACCAGCGTGGCTCATGGCAAGGTGCAGAGCTGGCTTGAAGGTTGGGATCTGCACTGGTGATGTTTAACAACTCTACTTCTAGATCAGTACCACTGGCCCCTGAGACTTGGATTTGAGGGGTGTGCCCACAGATTCACTCCAAGTTTGGTGGAGGTAGATGGTGACAGACAGTAATTTT